CTCATTGTACAGTCATTATTGCACTGCGTCTTTCATCTCAAGTTATAGATATTATTCCAGATTGTTGTATTTTTCTATTTGTATATATGCCTGTAGATAGGATTTTTTTATATTTATTCTTCCTGTTATATTGTTTACACCCTTATTACTATTACTGCCCTGTGTTGTGTGACTGCTACTGGCTGCTAAAAAAAAATCCTTCGGGATCAATAAAGTATGTATGTATGTATGTATGTATGTATGTACGTATCTATCTATCTATCTATCTATCTATCTATCTATCTATCTATCTATCTGTCAACGTTTTAGCTCTCTGTAAATCCACACACAATGGCACGCACATACACACTGGGACGAGGGAAGTGGGGGTGCTGAGGGGGCTGCATCATATATATCAGGACTGTAACCGTTAAAATAATAATTATAAAATGTTCTGGACTTTGTAATAATTTGAGCATAGTGAAGACCCATGTGTGAGTATGAGTTTGTATTTTTATATTTTAAAAATCTTTAGTAGCTCTACACTGTTTAAGTGAACGCCGTATATTTTATTACAGTGATCTGAAAACTGTCAGCCGCTTTCAGGCAGTGTTGCTCAAACACACACTGGCTGAGGTGCAAAGGGAAAAAGTCTAGGCAGATTCTGAGTCTTGACGCAGCCTAATACTGCTTTTTAAAATTAAAAATAATCTATCATAATAACGACGTTTTTATCAACAGTTACATCTCCTACTCAGAGTGCGCTTCAGTGTTAAATCTCACCTTGTGTTTGTGGGCGTGACACAGTCTACACAGATATGTGGCTACTCTGCCACATATCGACAATCTGATTGGCCACCATTCAGCTTATCTGCATAAAGTTCGTCCACAATGACAGAGCAGAGAGGGGATGCAAGCTGGTGGTCTGACGTGTCAGTAATATGTGTATACTGTAGTCTATCGCTTCATTATAGCACTGAATGACATATTCTATTAAATTTAAATTAGAAAAAATAAGCATTTAAAAATCAAATAAAGAAGGCAAATCCTTTTGCACAATGCCATCGTGCACGTCGTATATTTGCTACTAAAAATTTCAGCACCCCCAACATAGAACACATTCCTGCATCCCTGCACACACACACACACATACATCTTCTTCACTGATCATTGATACTATTGACTGTCTGCTCTTTACTCTCTCTCTTCTATTGCCTTTTAGTAAAATAGGATGTATCGTGCTGTGTAGGAGCACATCTTTGTTTTTGTTTTTTTTTTTAATTAAAAGAAAACTAACATTTTGTATGAACAACAGAAATTGATCAGAATGTCCATTCAAGTATGTTATTCAGGCAAGATAGTTATAGTAAAATACTATACTTCAATATATATTATACTATAATACTATATAATATATACTATACTATAATACTTTAACAGTGATATTGTCTGCTTTTGCCCTAACGTTCCATCTGAAAGCAAATTTGCCTTGAAGTGTAGCTGAATGCCTACAGGCCAGTACAGTCAAATTGGTAATTGTTATCTGGACCAAACACTAACCCCAAACTCAAGACTAGATGAGGAGCTTATATATGTTTCCATCATCTCAAAACTTTGTATCTTCATTTTATTTTACATACAATAACTGAAAACATCAACTTCACTTCACATTATTTTAATATTTCATGACAAATGGACAATTTGAAAAGGTCCAAAATGGTCCAAAGTTACTAAAAACTTTAAATTTTAAGAATTTTTTCATTGTGTTTTAAAGCTTCTATTTGAGAGATACATGTTTTTGTTTTGACAGCACTGATATGAACTGCACTATGGAACATCTCTTAGTCTGTTGATTTGTTTAATTGTCAACACTCTGCACACAGGGACATACACACACACCTGGACACCACTGCTTCTGGGGAATGTGTAGGTCACCCTGCTGGATATTTACCAGCAGAGGTGCCCAGGATCTGGGTACTCATATTGATTGACTTATTAACTGAGAATATGTGATGGGTTTCTCCTCTCCATTAATGTAGCCTTCATTTTGAAAATTATTACTCTTTTTGAAAGCTTTCCAAATTAATTATCTTCAAATATTTAGTGCACACGCTGTGTCTGGCTTATCTCTAGCTATTAAGCCTCAGGGTCAAACTCTGAATGCACAGTGTGTACGTGGTGGGTGTGTATTGATCTATAAGTCTGAGTTTATGATTGTGCATACATCTCTGTGAAGCTCTATTTTCAGTGAATATGCTCAGCTCTGTTTTGTGAGTGTGTGTGTGTGTGTGTTGTGTGTATGCGTGTGTTTTGTGTGTGGTGTTTTTCTCTGTAACAGGGCAGGAGTTCTATATTGGGTGCAGTGTATGGGCTGCTCTGAAGGCCATTAGGGTTAGAGGTATTGATGGACAGCTCTGCCTCATCCATCTCTGTTCTGAGGTAAACAGGAGAAACACACACAACGAAGTGCTTTCTTCCTGACTCAAGCACATGCCTTTGAAGTTAAAGTGTATAAAAATATTTAAAATATGCAGAACTCAGGCCTGGCGGCGCAAGACACACACATACAAACTAACATAAATATTAACAATGCCCCTCTCTCAGACATCCAAAACCAATAAACCGACATCACCCATCAATCTTTATGGCCGATTCAAGTTCTAATTTTTTTCTAGCCAAACTGGCTAACAGCCTATTTTTATTAGTCTTATTATTAGTCTTACTTTTTAACCCAAAGCTCACACTGTGGAGGTTAAATGAACAAACTAGCACATTTCCAGTTCTTTCTATAAGCCAAGTTGCACTATAAATAACATTATTTGCTTTATTAAACTGAGCGTCTCGCCAGGAATCCAATCTGACTTTAGCAATGACCCCTTAAACTCAATTAAATATGCCACCAGAGGATTTACATCGCATGCATTTGCACACTGGCCAGAGTGAAATGTATCAATGTGCAGAATTGCAGCTTTTTGTGTACTACCTTTTTTCTATCATTGTATGAAAGAGACACAGCGCCTCCTTTATTGTCAAGCTCATTTGGATCATTCATTTATTCATTCATTCATTCATTCATCAACTTTAACTACTTAAAGGGCTCCCGAGTGGCACAACTGTCTAAGTGTTGACCCTGTCATCAGCAGATTGCGAGTTCGATCCCTGGGATGCTACAGCCATCCGTAGCCGGGAGTCCAAGAGAGCACAATTGGCCTCGCTCTCTCTGGGTGGGTAGGGTTGCCCCTCCTTCTCCCCCCATCACTTAACGCGATGCTAGTCAGCGCAGGCGTCTGTTAGCTGACGTAACAGATCCGGCGGTTGGCGCTTTCCTCCGAGCGCATTCAGCTGTCCAATGACGTTGCTTGAGCTGCAGTTCGAAAAGAAGCGGTGGCGCTTCACAGGTCTTGGAGGAAGCCTGTGTTAGCCTTCGCCCTCCTAGCGTTGATAGTATCATGTGATTGGGGGAGTCCTAACTAGCGGGTGGAATTGGCGACGACTAAATTGGGGAGATTAGATTTTTTTGGGGATTAAAATCCCCCCAAAAAAAAAAACCTTTAACTACTTAATCCAGATAGGGTCGCGGTAGCAGGTGGGAGAGCAGAGAACCCCAGACGACCCTGTATCCCAGACCAACTTGGAGATACAATCCCTCTAGCGGGTCCTAGGACGAGCACGGCGTCTCATTCCAGTAGGCCGTGCCTGGTAAACCCCCTCCGGGGGGCATCTTGATCAGTTGCCCGAACCACCTCAACTGGCTCCCCTCAATGTGAAGGAGTAGCAGCTCTACTCTGAGCTCCTCACCCTATCTAGTAAAGTGTGCCTCCCGGCAATGACAGCTCTTTTCCACCACTTGTATTCACAGTCTCATTCTTTCGGTCATTACCCGCAGCTCATGACCATAGGTGAGACTTGGGATGTAGACTGACCATTAAACGGAAAGCTTTGCCTTATGGCTCGGATCCCTCTTCACCACTACAGTCCGTTACAGTGACCGCATAACTGCTGCCGCCTGTCCCAGCCTGCAGCCGATCTCATCATCCCTCTTCCTATCACTTGTGAACAAGACCCCAAGATATATAAACTCGTCCACCTGGGGCAGGTCCTCACCCCTTACCTGGAGTGGGCATGCCATTAGTAAGAGCTTATTATTGTTTTTTTCAATCATGGTAATGATAAAATGTGGCTTCTAAATAAATGTAAATAAAGGCAACAACTGCTCTTAGAAACCACATTATTACAGGAGAAGAGTAGATTAAATAGCAGATTAAGTAGCAGAAATAGCATTAGCCATGACCAAAAATGTGATAGGTTGATTCCATGGACAATTCTTCATTATACCGTTGGTTAATCTGATGTCTTATGCCTTCTGCCCAGCTTCTGAAGTCCTAACCAAAGAGAGAGGTACCGGTGTTGATTGCACAAATTTCTTTTGGGCATTTGGGTTTTGTTACTACAATACTTACAGTTTAAATACAACAAGCATGATGATCCTAATAATAAAAATGAGCATAAAATTACAGAGAGTTCTTAGAAATTATAAGGGCTTCTAAGAAAGGCCTAGAAGGCCTTGAAGGTTCCCCTCTGATAAACACTAATAGATATAATAAAATACCAACACAGACACAAGTATATAATTCAGCTCTTCCAGCACTTGTAAAACCCTGAGCTCCATCTCAGAAACAGAGAAACAGTCACGATTAATCCCAGCATAAGAAAGTGACCACCCTCAGGACACTGACACCAGCATGAATAAAGCATGCCACCCGTCCTGCTGTCAATCACTGAGGCTGTCACACAGCCATTACACAAGAGCGGGAGATTACATGCGTTCACTGATGTAACAGGTTGTCATTACTTAAGAATGTGATCTTATTTACAGAGTGTGTCTCTATATGTATGTATGTGTGAGAGGGAGACAGAGAGAGAGAGACAGAGAGTGAGAGAGAGAGAGAGAGAGAGAGAGAGAAACTGTTCAGCACAACAGTAACATTAATGAAAAAGCATCCTCCAGTAGATTGTCTTACCGTTGATCCAGTGTGCCTCAGGATCGTGTACGTAGAAATCAGGACCAAACAGATCCTCCACTGTCAACTTAGTGTCACTGCCAGCCAGAGTGTCCGCTGTCAACACACACACACATTACAGAGCCATCAGAAACCAAGGTCACGTCTATCAGTGTCTGCAGAGGTCAACCCTGAGCCGAACACAAAAGGAGAAACACGCTCACCTTACCCACACACTCAAACACAACACAGCACAGACACAAACACACCTTCATGAGGAATTCATCCTCAGTTAAAGGATACACCAACACAGAGCTGGGAGGCTAAAGGTTTAAGGTTGACACCATGCTAATAGGAACTGCCATTACCTTAGACTTTATGTTGAACAGGTGATTATGATTTTGTTGATTTGGCTTCTGTTTGACACTTAACATTTTAGTGCTCTTATTACAGTGTAACAGGTGTGTTTACACCTCAACACAGAATAAGTTCAGAAACAAATCATTTTATTATGTTGCAATATACCATAAATAATGTCAGCATAACAAATGTTTAATTTTGATAATCATTTATTTATTAATTAATTCATCAGTGCAGTGTAGTAGTCAGACAACACAAGCTAAACAGTAAATGTTGCATTTTTCTGTAAGAAGAGCTCTGGATTTCAATTCAATTACTTACACAAAGAGCAATCAAGCAGAAAAGCAAAGTTTCTGTTGCTTAAAAATGTTTCTCCTCTTCCACAGATAAGGCTCAACGATCTTCAGCACAGCCTATATTGTCTGATTTATTTTATTGCTTTTGTTTTCTATTCTGGACTGCAAACTATTTGCCAGTACTTCACAAATATTTTGTGGGGTAAATCAGATGAGGGTTATAGGCTACTGGATAACTGCTGCTAAAATAACGTCCAACTTGGAACAGCGGAAAAAATAAGTGGTTCCCAGATATGCAGTCTAATGTATATGGTCAAAATGACCATTAATGGTCTTATGAAGTAATATGCAGCACATTTTTGTGCTTTATAATACTGATATCATAATAATGTCAAACTAAAATATGCAATAATTTAGTAAAAGCCAGAGATCAGTAGGTATGGGGGTTAGGGTTATGTTAGGGTTTTATTTTATCAGCATTATCTCATCTCAAAAATTGAAAACAGTCAAAATGACCTTGTCGGCCTTTCTGGTGTTAAATGAAGCATAATTATTATATTAAGTAGTTAAACATAATTACGTTGCATGAGGTGAATATCATAATAACAAATATACCCACATGTAATTCCAAGTTTATAATTGAACATTTGAGTTCCTCAACATTCATTGTAACCATCTGTTCCAGCTATAAATTAGTTTGAAGTCAAACAAAGTACAAATGTACTTTAGGTGTCTTAATGCTAATTAGTGAGTAACTAATTTTGGTACAAGATACATTTATTAAGACAAGGTTTGTGTTTGTGTAGTCTACTTCTGCTTTAATCTTTCATGTTTGTTCTGCAGGTCTGGCTTTTTCACACTTCAGATGGAGATAACAACATATCTGAAAGGAAATAATATAACTGAGGGCGATGATTCACAAGACTCACACAAAAGTTTAACTCCGTAAAATCATAGGGTTTTTACATTCTGTACCGTTCTGCTACGCTACAATACTAAGGCTTATTATTCAGGGACTTTAATGCAAACTGATATTGGGCCCTGGCCATGTAAGAGGTTAAATCTCTTATTGTAGATAATATAACGTGACAATAAATATTAATTTCAACCTACTTTAAATTACAAGTTTAAAAGTCACACCTGTAATTAGTGATGCATCAATACCATGTGTTTCAGACAAGTAAATGTAAATGGAGTACATGTGCGAGCACTACGTTTTTAAGCACTTACCAATATTGATACCTTAATTAGTAACCTACTTCGAATTTAGTAATTGTTTGTGTAAATGAGTGCAATGTACCACGACAGTTAATTCATTAAAATCTAAAATCTGATTTCAAATGACATGCATTGGCTAGATATGTTACATTAGTTACTTTGGATCGAGTAGCATTGCAGTGGAGAACTCTCATCTTCTGTACAGCTGCAAGTAAAGTATGTTTCATAGTTTTGATCCCTGCTCCTCATCTGTCTCTGTAGCACAGTGATGGCAAGAATCACAACCAAGGCTAACCCAAGGTGCCTTAGGGTCTTTTGATTTGCTGGTTGAGCTGGTTGAACTCTAAAGCCAGGCATATACCATGCGATTTTAGAAATTTTTTTCTTTAGTGACAACTCATGCTGTATGTTTAAGCAGACAGTCGTGTATAGCTCTGTCTCTGGACAATTATCAATAAAAGTGTTTCATTCAAAACAAGACTGCAGACGAGTAAATAGCAGAAACGCTGAAAAACTGTGCTTCTACAGCTTTGCTTACCAGTGCCACACTGTGCACTGAAACTAAAACCAGGTGGCGAAGTATGTGGTATGTGGTTATCGACGGATTTTTATGAGTATGAGTAAATAAACATGGTATTGGGTCAATACCAGACACCAGTATCAACATATCCCTAACTGTAATAATAGTGAAAGCTTGGTTTGTGTGTGCATGTGTGTACCTGGTGTGAGGAGGATGACAGACATGGTGATGAGCGAACAGACCAGCAAAATGACCAGCAAAGCAATGGCTATCCCCTTCCAGTTCCTCTGAGGAGGACTCACCCCACCCAGATCCTACAGAGAAGGAGGGGAAAGAGAAAGAAAGAGAAAGAATTATAGCTTGCTGAATAGTCACAGAATATTTCAAATATCTATGCGCACTTTAGCACACACACACATTTTCATACAGGACATGCAGTCATATTATTCGTTGTGTGCAAAAGTTGGTCAAATAACATGTTTTGTTGATTTTATAGCTGAAAATGAGTACAGATTCTCTACAGAGAACACCTCTACATATTTATTGAATATTTGCTGAATTTAATATATTGGGGAAAAATATAACATGAAACATAGCATTTGCAAAGGTTATGGCACACTGTCTATTTTATGTTTCATTTTTTATCATTGTAATATACTCAGCAAACAAATAGAGATTGTGCAGTAAATCTGAAAATATGCCGTATTTAAGTTTATTCTCTGTAGAGAATGTTATTTATTTTCACTTAAAAAATCAACAAAACATAATCTGACCAAGGGGTATTCAAACATTTGCATACCACTGTATGTCTCATACATATCATATTTATGTAACATGTAAGTATCTATATCCTTACAACCTTAACTTAAACAAAAACAAATTGTTTTGCCCTTTTAGTTTTAACAAACACACTCACATAAGACAAACACATTACACTACTACAACACTACTACATGTGCACACACTATGAGAGATAGACAGGAAAAACAAAAGACACAAAAGATGGTAACACTATTGTAGGGTACCGTTCACAAGGCTACTTAACACCTTCATAAAACTGTCATGACAACTGACATATCCCTTTATAAATGTTTATAAATGCTTACTGCAATAGGAATTATCTGTCATAAAGAATAATTTAGCTAACCAAATAAAATTGGCAAATGTAACTTTACAGCAAATGACATTTATTGGAATAAGCATTTATAAACATTTACGTAGGGTTGTCATGACAAGCTTACGTAGGTGTAATGTAGCCTTATGAACAGTACCCTACAATAATGTGTTACCCAGAAAAATTTAGGCTGCTTCAGTAAGTGTAGTAATGAAGGGCCTGAGTGTGCAGGGCCACATGTCAGTCTGCCTGTGCATGTGTGTTTTCTCTGTGATCCACGTGTCTCAGCACATTACTAAATACCATTCCTGTATTATTCATCAGGCTGCCTTTGTTTTGTGCAGCAGAGAAATGTGATTCATAATTCAGCCCTGAGAGACTCATACAGTGACTGTATGATAATTACTAAACTGTAATAAATAAAAAGCAGGAAGTTTATCTTAAAGACATTAACCGAGGCAGAAGCTTCCGGTGCCGTGTCACACACAAACACACACACACACACACACACACACACACCTGCATGCTCCAGTCTCTGATCCATGCCTGGATCTCTTACTGAAGACATCTGTATTCTGTCTCAGTGCTGGACTGAATGGCTGTTCATTTTCAGCTGAATCTTATGGCTCTCACACTATGGAGATAAGCTATACTAGGGCAGCGACATAAGGACAATATATCATTGAGGTACGTCTTGCAACACTGTAAAACACCTTGCTGTAGAGTATATTGCTGTTGTTGGAAGAAAACCTCATATCTCCATTTTTGACGTTTTTCAGTTTTTGACATAACTTGAAAGTACCTGTTACCCTTTACATTGTGTGAAAAATTCATGATGAATGGACCAAAAGTAATGGTCCAAAATGACTTTTTTCCAAGTCTGGTTCCACTGACTTACATTAAAAGTAAAGTATTTTTTTTCCTTTTCCTGTAAAGTTACCATTTTGGCGATACAAGCTTTTCTTCTCACAACAGCGATAAGTAATTTACAATATTAGACATTTAACAGTAATCTACTGTAATATAACAGCATTAAAATTACTGTTGTAAACACACAGATGTACATACAAGTGCAGGTGCAGCGCAAAATGTGCCCTGATTTGAGTGCAATATGCATCTACAATGCATCTGAATTTAATATTTTATGTATTAAGCTATATATCAGCTCATCACACAAACTGCATGGAGCTCAGCCCACTAACTGCTTGCTTATGAAACACAGAGCTAAAAAAGGCAGTGAAATACTGGAGCTGTCAACAGGATCAACATCAATTCATTGATGACACTGTTGCTGCAGTCAAGATGAGCGTCAAGCAAGTCTGAGTCAAGACCTAGACCTGGACACATCAACTCCAAGTGAGGAGTAGTGTGTATATACACGTATGGTGAAAAAAATGTCATTTCATAATGGCAACATAATGGCATGGACATGTAAAACTGCCAGTAAGATGGGTTTACTTGGCTTTATTGATGCTGTGACTACTGATGGGAGCAGAAGAATGAATTCTGAACTGAACAGGAGCACCTTTACTGAGATTCACTACAATACCACAGAACTCACTGACCAATGGACAATGAGCTGAAACATACAAATAAGGACACTTATAGAGTTTGATATATATATATATATATATATATATATATATATATATATATATAATGATTAATTATTATTTTACTATAGTCCTAGTTTATGTCCCCTGAACTTAAACCAAATAACATGTTTTAAATTTGTTTTAACATGTAAATAAAAGACTGTTTATTCTGTCTGAAGGTATTTTATTATTCAATAATGGCAGGAAAAACAGAGGAAAGGCACTGCACTCAGCTGGTCTCGAGAGTCCACCACACCCTGAGACTGAGACAAGACCAAGACATTTCATTTAAGGTCTCAGACAGGTACTACAACACTAGATGAGACAATGCCATTAAGAAATTCTTTCCCACCAAAACATTATAGAGGTGTTATTTTACTCTTGCATCTAAGAAGTTTGAGAAACAATAACAAGGATACACACATGTTGTGGCTGCATCACTGCATATTTTGCAACTCGCCTTTTCACATTTCTGGTCCTAACAGTTTAAACAGTGTTACTCTGATGGTAAACATTCTGTCAGGAAATGGTTGAGGCTCATGCCTCCATCTAACCACTGTTTCTGCAGCCATTGTTAAAGGAAGTCTTTTGAGATTCTAATGCAAATTTATGCCTGTTATATGCATGTAGTTTGTTAGGGGGCTCATTTGTGCAGCCTTCCAAAAAATAAATATTGAAAAGGCCAATCACAATAATAATTAACAAACAATGTACTGACAAAACAATGTAGCTCTGAACTGTACTGTAGATGGCCAGAGTGGCTCAGCGGCACTCACACTCTATCCTCATTTCACTCATCCTCCAAACTCATCCTGCATGCTGACCGCCTAGGAAAGGGAGAAAAACATCTGTGTGTGTGTGTGTATATGTAAGGAGGAGAGTGTGTCCTTGCAGGATCACACATTGATTGTAAATGGCTGAATGCTGTCATGCGTGCTGCTCTTTCCTCTCCTTCCTCCATTTCCTGCTCAGCTGCAAAAGCTGATGGAGGTTCATTTATAAAGTGAATTATGAGCAGCAAGACAGAAGGAGGGACATACCAGTACTCCACAAACACACACACACACACACACACACACACACACACACACACACACACACACACACACACACGGCTACGCTTTACAGATTTCCCTCTTCACTCACACCAAAAATCAGGGCTCCATTACGATTTACAATCCAAACAGACAACAGAGCTATAAAACCAAAGTCACTCACACACACACAAACCACACACCACCATACACCCACTGTACATACACAGACTCTCTCTCTCTCTCTCTCTCTCTCTCTTTCTTGTTTGATTTTCTGTCAGCACTGCACTACATCTTCCAAATGTGTTTCTTTCTCTCTCCGGGCATCGCTGTGTTATTGTGCAGAAGGAGAAAGAGCCATAAACACACACCTGGTGAAAGAGAGAGTGTGTGTATGAGAGAGAGAGAGGTATAAAGAGAGAGGGAGAGTAAGAGAGCAAGCAACTTAATCAGTGACATATGGTGCCATATGGAAATAATAGATAGATCAGAGTAAATAAACCATAACAGTGTAAGTCTTTCTAGGATATACCCTAATGACCATGATATAATGCTTTGTTTCTGTTCTACTTATTCTGTCCAACATTTTGTGCCAAAATAATAATAATAATAATAATAATAATAAGAAGAAGAAGAAGAAGAAGAAGAAGAAAATGAAGAAGAAGAAAATGAAGGAGAAAAACAAGAAAAACACTTCTTTCAACTCCTGAAAACTTTCGAAAAAATTGAAAATAATCCATATAGTGTGATCTGTAAATAAGACCAGCACATTTTTTGGTTGTCGTTGCTTTGTTTTTGCCTCTGTAAATTAGTACATCCAGTCAGAAGTGAAACAATGGGGGGCAAATTCAACTGGAGCATGTACATTCATACTGAGAGGACCATGTAGGAATTATGACCCTTTTGTGTACAGTTCTCTCATTTTAAGGAACCACAATTGGACATTTGGCTTGTCAAGAGATGATTTTACATGAGTATCTACACTTGCCGTTTGGAGAAGTGTCAATGCCAGGCTGAAAACAGTCATACATTGGGTAAGTCAAAATAAATTCTTGAGCAGGTTGCTGAGAAGCAAGAAAGCACTGTTGATATGAAAAATAGACTGTCTGGGACACAGTGAAATCCTTACATGATGTGAAGATGATCTTGTACCACAGTGATGGAAAGAAGTATCGTGAAAAAAATGTCATTTCATAATGGCAACATAATGGCATGGACATGTATAACTGCCTGTGAGATGGGTTTACTTGGCTTTATTGATGCTGTGACTACTGATGGGAGCAGAAGAATGAATTCTGAACTGAACAGGAGCACCTTTACTGAGATCCACTACAATACCACAGAACTCACTGACCTTGCAGCAGGACAATGAGCTGACACATACAAATAAGGACACTTATAGAGTTTGATTTATACAAGACTTACAGAGTTTAAAAAATCTTAACTGGCTGGCATCTAAATCTCACTAAGCATGCTTTTTGCTTCCTGAAAAACAGACTGAATGCAAAAAGTTCCTACAACAAGTAGGAAACTAACAAGGCTGTATTACAGGCCTGGCAGAGGGAAGATAA